CAGAACTGAAATCTTGGATCCGCCCCTGATTTGCTTTACACTACCTTAGATGCAGCATATACATGTTTAATTTAATGATTTTCCCCTTTACTTCTTACCTTTTATGTATGGACTGCCAAGAGTTCAGATGCTTGGAGCAATTGCTTGGTTTACCATTTATATGATTATATTGATGTTCTTTGTTTGTCTGAAATTTGTATGAAAAAGCTTATCCTTTAAAGGCCTCAATTCAACACATTAGGCAGCAAACATATTTCCATATCCAACAAAATGGGATGCGTATGGGCTACCACCAAAGTTTGAAGTTTCCAGAAGTAATAAGGCTGTGAATTTACTCAGGATTGTAGCTAATGAAAGCCTTCAACAAGGACAATGGCAATGGAATACAAATTTGATGAGAACAGTTTGCAGGCAAGCGATATATCCTAAACCAACGAGGCACTTGAATCTCCAAGTTCCATCTGCTTGCATGAGGGATGCGTGACAAAAGTTGTATTCAAAAGGAATGCTATCAGATTATTGTAGGCCAATTCTGTCAGGCACCAAATATTTATAACATTGTATCTACAAAAGGAGCACAAAGCGAAAAATGACGAGAAATTGACAAACATAGAATGCAGCTGCTTGAGCATTTCATGCTGCTATCAAGCAAACCAGAAAACAGCAACGTATGTTCCTTTGTCGTTCCTTTGTGTCATATTCAAGTTTCTCGTTACCAGGTCCGTATTCTTTGATACAAGGCTCAAAATACAATTAGAGGCCTAAGGGTAAACTTTCCCCTGGCTAGTTGAACATTACTCGAAATTGTCATTTATAATGTTCCCATCTCAACTTGGTAGTATGAAGACCTAAGTAACACATGAGAATTCCACACCTTGAATATACACATTTGGGCTAATATAGAGGGATCAAATCCTAGCTCAAGTAAGATGGTTATTACATATTGAAGGGAGCGGAAAAATGCAAGCTCATGATTTCAGTCATAAAATCACTTATGCAACTGCACATGTAATGACTTCTGAGAAGGCATCATGCCTGCAGGAGAAAAGGCCATCAAAAACTTTAGTCTTTCTCTTCCACAAACACAAAATTTCTGGATAAAGGCAGTTGAAACAAGCAGCCTACTCAAATAGCATGGATCCTAGAAAAATACATCCAAGTCGATTAAGAGAGTAAGATATTCTAAGAAAAAAGGTTCTAGAAGGTATAAAGAGATACAGAAGTTCAAAAGTATTCCAACCTAATTACGAATTTACATATCCATCGTCTATATGCATGCTAGTTATATGAGCTGCTGATATCCAATACCTTGAAGGTCTGAAAATACATATACTAAACAAAGCTCGCTGGTCAGATACATCAACTCCCCAATCAAGTTCAGTTATGAGCTACGTCTACCATTACCTAGTTTGATGAGACTATCCTTCCTGAACAACATCGGTAGAGTTATGAGCTAAGTCTACCATTACCTAGTTTGATGAGACTATCCTTCCTGAACAACATCAGTAGAGTTAGCATACCAATTGTCGATAATCTACATGTTGGCTTTCCTTTCCCATCTTTCCTTTGGATCAAGCCTGCACACAAGAAAATTTTGAGAAATAATATATACCCTTCAAATATGACACTCTTCCATATAAGATGGTATTCTCATATAATCTCATGAAAAAAAAATTACAAAAGAAGGTCTGCTCCAACTATATGTTAATGCTATACACGGTGGCCACATAGAGTAGATTGTTCTACAAAGTCAAAATTGACTGAAAATTAACTAGCTGCACACACAAGACCACAGTAGTGATATACATACAACAATAACTGATTAGTGTAATTCAGAGATGAAAAGAGTAAGGCTACAAGATTATTTTGATCCAGTAACAACCCTTTTGGCCTTTCCATTAGTATACCTATAGGCATGTCACGGGACCATATAAATCCAAATATAAAATAAACCTTGCTGTACATTAATAGGTTTTCGTTTGGATCTCAAGTGTATCCTTACTGACCAAACAGTTCAAAGTAGGTTTTCTTCTCTCCTTCTAGGGTGTATTTGAAATTTTGAATCCATGCATCCTACTCAATTGCCCGTATGTGGCCATGTTTGTTGTATATTATACCAACTAGTTGCTTAATAACTTCTAATGTTCATGTCTAACCTACAGTCAAGTAGTAACTGTAAATATGAGCAAGATGTTCATTCTTTACTTTATTTCACATCTTTCAACCATTTTAAAGGCATTACATCATGACAAATATGATAAAATGAAATAGAACATTATCCTAATACCAACCCACTCAAATTACACTAAAAGGAATAAAACAGGAGGGGGAACCCCAAAAAAGGAAAAAAGAATTTACTGTTCTCATTATAATTGCCAACTAACAAGTCAATCTTAAAATTGTAACTAAATCTGAATTAATAAAATCTCAACCAAATATTCTACTTAATCTAAAATTCAGCCCTGAAAATTAATAAAACTTGACATTGTAACTAAATCTGAATTTCTTGGTAGAATCCTAACTATTCTTTAGCTACATCAGTAATGTATGAGGTATTAACATCCTTGTGGCAAAATGATTCCGCAGTGAATAACCCTCCTATTCAATCAGTTAAAGGGAACTGATAACGCAAGTAGTAATCTCAAAATCATCTTATTGTATGGATTTTAATGTTTTATATTGTCATCAAGGATAACTGCTCATTATAAAAAATATGAAAAATCAGCAGGACCAGTTTGAGTCCACTACTATAACACGCACCTTGATGGTAAAATTTCCAGTGCGTCAGTATCTGAAATGGATACCAATCCAGTTTGCAGTGTGGGAACATACAGTTTTAATTTGGTAGTGCATGGTGCATTCATCTCTTGTAAATTGTAATTTTGGACAATAAATTTTTCATTCTTAAAAATTGTAACTTTGTAAGAGCTACTGCTTGACTATCATCTTAATTAGAGGAGTTTGAACTTGAATGCCAATGAGAAACACACCATCATATGCTAAACACATTAAGTTTGTGAAAGACCTCTAAGGTAGAATTAATATAAAAAACATGCAAAAGACTGGCTTTTTAATAACTGATCAGTGTAAGCAAGGACATGTCTTCTCACATCCCGGGCACACGATCTGGTTGGCATGTTGTAAGCCATGGATCCCACCGAGCAACATGTGGTTTCGCTCGATGGACCACCAAAATTGACTAGCCAATGTTCCACTTGACTACTTAGGACTTGCATTATAAACCTACTGAAACCTCTTTGAGTACCTGATGTAGGACCAAAGATTGGGGTATTACAATAACCCCACCTAATATATGTGATGTCCTTATCACAGCATAACAATTGCTCTTCAGTATGATCACCAACAAATGATGTGGATTCTAGAGGTGGCTCCTACGGGTTCTCAAGGCGGCACTCAATGCGCTAACGTGATGTAACACTTAGTCCCGCATAGCACTTAATTCCACAATTACGACTGATTAACTGCTTAGATACCATTTCTCTTGCCTAGGCCGGCGAGCCGATTGATGTAAGTCATGTGACCCCTAGCTGTAAAACGTGGTTTGGCTCGATCAACCGCAAAAATTAGCTAGCCAATGTTGCACTAGGCTCCTTAGGACTTGCATCATCAAACCGTTGAAACCTCTTTTGAGTACCCTATGTGGGACTAAAGGTTGTGGTTTACATGTTTTCTTTCTAACTACATTACCTGCTTTCTATGTTATCCGGGTACTTCTATAATGAAGCCGTACCCGTACCGGACACGTACCCGACACTTTTCCGTACCCAAACTTCATGGACACTTCTTGAACATATGCATGCATTTATTACAACATGTACTCAATTATACGATATATGTGTTAATTTAAAACACTTGTCAAAGACTTCCTGGACGTAGAGCTTACACTTTACATCCGTCTTTTGAAACTAATGAGATACGGGTCGGATTCGTTTCAGTCCATACCCAAGTTTAAAACTATATAGTTAATGGGTCGTTTAGATGTCTAGTAAAAAAATGAGTAGTTTACAATTCACGATAATCAATATGATAACAGAAACTCAAAAATGTAATCGGAATTTTAATTCTAATGACACATGAAGGAGAAAAAATTATCTTATGTACAATATAAATTCAATATATATATGTAGTCATGTCCCCGTACCCTACATTTTACAGTTTTTCCGTGTCCCGTACCCGCACCCGCACCCGTACCAGTACCCGTGCCCGTTTCCATGCAACTTAGTCTGCTTTCATCCAGTTCTAATAACCTTCAACAAATAGAATAGTCGATTGGGAGATATAGTATAAAAAGAAATTAATGACATGTAAAAGATATGATAACATTTGCAGCCTTAAAGCAGTGCTGCAGAAGCACGTAAAATGACATGCATATGGTTATGCAAGCACAGAGTCCAAAGAAAACAAATTTTAAGTACTAAGGTAGAATTAAGAATAAGAAAATATACCCCCAGTGCAACTTTTGTCTCTTCTTTGATGCAAAAGCAGGCATTGTTTCATCCTGATGCAATTGAAGATACCACTTAGGTTAAACAAAGAGCAAGATCTTCCCAGAAGTAAAATTTGCAGCGAAGGAATTTTGGCATATATAAGACACGTCATAGTTTTGAATCTAGTGTCACAGTATTTATGCCACTGATGAGATTAGTTGACTGGCATGATGGTCAAGCACATCCAAAGCTTTCAAGAAAATATTAATCTATCACTGTGCTGATATTAGCATATATTAAAGCTATATATAGATACTATATATAACTATATATATATATATATATATATATGAGAGAGAGAGAGAAGAGAGAGAGAGAGAGATTAATGGGTATCGCTTGACAAAGGAGGGATTTCCCCCTTGACAATGATGCACAATCCCCACCATGTGACGGAGAGAGAATAAAGTAGGAGAGAGAATTTCACATGATGGGGATTGTGACACATCATTGTCAAGGAGGGAATCTCCCTCCTTGTCAAGGATACCCATTAAGGGCTGTTTGGTTGATGTATTTGGCATTGGGGGTTGGACAGAAAGCCTGTCAAAGAGCACTTTAGGAAGGCTTTTTGCCCCAAAACGCCTCTTTTAAGAGGCGTTTTGGGCAGAAAGCCTGTCAAAAGTGCTCTTTGGTAGGCTTTCTGCCCAACCCCAATGCCAAATACATCAACCAAACAGCCCTAATCTCATATATATATATAATATATATATATATATATATAATATATATATATATATATGTGTGTGTGTGTGTGCGCGTGCGGCGGCCGCGCGCGCGCATATACATATGTATATGTGTATTTGTATGTGTATGTACATATGTACACGTATACATATGTGTATGTATTATAAATAATATATATATATATATATAATATATATATATATTATTTGATCTTATGTCAACTTAAGTGAACACCAAGCCTTTGTCCACCAAGTTTCTATCCACTCATTTATATATATAAAAAGACTCTTCACATCATGCAAGGATCCCTAAGCATGAGTGGATAGAAACTTGGTGGACATCCACTTAAGTTGACATAAGAATTGCTCATATATATATATATAATATAATATAATATATAATATATATATATATATAATATATAATATATATATATACATCCACGCCCGGCCCGCGCATGCATACACGCACGCTTCCGGCGCCCATCCGCACGTACATACATACATACAAGAAACAATATTTTCACAGGTTTCACCAAGCCGACAACAGAAATTTGAGATAGAGTCTTGTTGTTGCTATGTTACAATCAGTGTCACCCATGGCAATTATTCTCTCCCTGCCTTTTGTCTCTCCTCTTTATCCATTACCATCTAAACTTCACCTCAAAGGTCCATACAAACATATGCAAAACCACAGTCAAATAGAAGTCCATTATAATAATCAATTCTCCATAAGTATTGAAGACTTCAAACAGATCAAATTCATTTTAAAATAAGTGCTTTGGAAGAGACTTCTAAAAGGACATTTCTATAATAGAAAGTTATGCCAAAGGCGTTCTTAGTATCCTTTGAGGGTCAATATCTATTATGATCCTACAAGTACTATCTTTTCAGTTTTTAGGCCCTTGCTTCTATTTCCTTTTCAAAATTTAGGAAGACTAAAAGTAATCCTACTATTAGTTTTAGTATGGGGATAAGAATATATCTTTGTTATATTTCGTATACAAATTTATGATTTTTTTCCATTGTTTACAATTGTTATGGATAGATTTGATCGGATGTCAAATTGCAAAATCCAAGGATCGCCCATAAGATTCAAACAGAAAAATGAAAATATTACATTTTTTAGTGGGGCCTTATATTTTATCCTAAAAGAGAATCTTACAAAATTCTGAAGTATGATTTATTTCCTTCTCTTTCTCTGTCTCGCATATTACCAGTTACTTTATGATGTTATATTTGTTCATGTAAAGTATAAGGTTCAAATTTTATTAAGGTCCCATCTTCTGAAGAAAAAGAAGTCACTGTTTTTGAAATTATCTAACTTCTTAAATTAGTGAACTATTACACTATAAATTATAACATTGTAGATTCTGTTGAAAACAAAGCAATAGCTGATTGGGCTTACTGAAGAGTCCTTTCTCTCTGAAATGCAGAAATTTGAATCTTCTTTAATGTCAGATTCGCATATTCCTTTAGTGTCCTTGCAGACAAGATCCTCCTTCTTTACCTTTCCAGGTCTTCTTGCAATTCCTGAAGCAAACATACCATGAGGAGAATTACAGAAAGATGGCAGTCAAACTATAGAAACTAAGCAACACCTTTTAACATCTCTTTATCCTTTGATATTTGTTTTATTTGTAAGCGTCTCTTATGCAGCTCCTGTCACACGTAAATAGAAGCAATTTCAAAAAGCGAAGTCATAAAACTCAATGATAAACACAGTAAACCAAATAAAAGCTAAGGCCACCTGTAATACTCGAAAATAAAATAAAATGCTAAACCTAATTCATAAAGAAAATAAAATTAATTTTCCCAGTCAGTGATTAATGTGATTTTTAGGTGTCAGAAGAATCACACACTCAGGTGGGGCATGATATTTAATTTTAAAAATCATCGACCTGATTAACTAGAAACTTATTTGGCATCAAAAAAGTAGGTGGATGGCTAGAAGGTGCCATCTAAGAACCTATTTCTCTTATGGTGCGTTTGGGAGTTTACTTAGGGAAGGGAAGGAAGGGGAAGGAAGGGGAATTTTTCCCCTTCCTTCCCTTCCCCTCCATTACACCCCAATTTGGGGTGTAAGAATTTGGGCCAAATTTCCCCTCCATTCCCCTCCTCTACCCTCCAAAATAAAACTCCCAAACAAGATTAAAATAAAATTTCCCTTCCCTTCCCCCTCTTCCCAAACAAGATTAAAATAAAATTTCCCTTCCCTTCCCCCTCTCTACCCTCCATCCAAACAGGCCATTAAAGACATAAGCCATGTGTGAGGGGTGATTATACGTGGATATGAGAGAACCCTTCCCTCCCTCCCCTCGCCCCTCTCCCTCCCTCCCTCCCTCCACTCAGCCCTCAATCACTCTCATCTCTTTTCCCTTTTTCTCTTTATTAAGCTAATATGAAAATCTAGCTTCTGGTTTAGAAGAGAAAATATGTATCAAAACATAAAAAATGAAATTTAGTACTTTTAGGTAGATTGTTTAAGTTGTCATAATCAGTATCGAATCTCGTGCTATTAGAAGTTCATCTTTTCCCATATCAAAGTTAAATTATATATTCAATGTTGAGGTAAATTATATATTCAATGTTGAGGTTTAGACATCATGCTAATATTCTTATTAAAAATTTCATGCTGATTAATATCATGGTAGCTTGCTCATGCAAATCTGTTCCATGATATTATTTGCGAGTTGTGCATGTTTTAGTAGTATACTTGCACAATAACTTGCACAACTATCATAGAATACTTGTCATTTACTTTGCATGACTTTAGTAGACACATTATCCACAAACTTCCAAACCTTTAGCATCATTTTCATGGGGATAGTATGTACACTTGTGTTTGCAAAAGCACACACAACCACATGCATGCATGCACATCTGTATGCACTTAAATATTATACACATCTCTGTCTCTCTATATACACACATAAGCGTACATGCATATCTACACACACATATATGGGATACTGGACAAGAGCTACCACCTCACTTTGGGATATTTTTTCATTAAGAATGTCATGTGTAAGCTATTTATAACTTTTGACTCAACTCATCATATTGTACGCATTGGTGATGGTATTTTTGATAGTAACGAGAGGATGGTTTTATATTGATGCTCGTATGTGATGATATGGTTTTCCTTTACCCAACAAGGGCTGAGTACTCCTCCTAATTATTTGAGCCAGAGGGGGCTTGTATATTTTGTGTTTGAGAATCTTATATGTTATTCATGACCGACTTGGTGTATATGTCTATTTGGGGCCAGGTGACGCTTAATTCATTTGTATTGAGTGACGTTGCTTCATCCGGGTAGGGTAAGTGCTTTGTCATGTTGGCTTTCATTATGTTGATTACTATGTGCTTTGACACAATAACGAGGATGGTCACGTGCTAAATTTGGGCCATGGCTCATTATACAGTCTTTCTCCTCAAATAAAATGGCTAAAAATAATTTTACCTACAAATGAATGTAGGCCTTTCCTCTCCACTAATTGAAATGAACACATCCTTGCATGCTTCCTAAGATTCTCATTTGATTACCAAACAGCAAAATCAGGATAAAAATGTGCATTTACAACAAATGACATAACACGAAATAAGAAATGCATTGGATTCGTTTACAGTATTTGGCAGCAAATGCAACCTAATTATAACCAGTACTTTGGTCATCTAAAAGTTCATGGAATGGTTTGAAAAGGTGCAAAGCTCTCATAGGGAACGAGTCCCAGAAACAAGACCTTAATTACAATAACCTTGTCTTTCAAATTTAAAATTCGATGCCATTTACACTGTCTGAGTTTTAATCTTCCGCATTTCGAATTAGGGCTTCTTTCCAGTTTCAAAACCCACCTAAAATTCCCGACTCCGATCAGTCCGAAGATTCCATAACTCCCAGTAGTAAATTTGCTCAGGATTAGGGTTTATCTCAGTCGTTCATCGTTATGCGAGGGCAAAGAGATGATTGCATCGAATCGATCGGTTTTTTTTTTTAAAGAAGAAGAAGAAGAAGAGAGATTAGGTAAGCAATTACCCTGAATTTATCGAGCTGGGCTTGGGTGACCTTGGAGGATTTGAAGTTGGGTTGAAAGAGTGGAGTTGAAGCCAACGCGGCCTCTCTCCTTCGATCATCGTCTCCACCTTGCTCCTCCATTGATCTCTCCTCCCCTGCGAAGAGAAGATGCGCTCCCAATTAATAGTTTTCTGGTCTTTTTTTTCCAAGTAGGGATAAATGATAGGGGGTTTTCCAATATAATTCGGCAAAGGGAAAATTTGCAAAATAGATCATTTTTTTATGAAATATATAGCGAAATAGATCACTTTAAAAAATAATTAGCAAAATAGACCTTTTTTGAAAAAAAGATGTCGATTTTGAAAAACAAGGCTCAGAAAACATACGGGACTACTAGTCCCGTATGTTTAGAGCCAACTAATCACGGATTAGTGACTCAGAAAACATACGGGTCACGGATTAGTGACTCAGAAAACATACGAGACTAGTAGTCCCATATGTTTTCTGAGTAGAAAATTTTACTAATCCGTGATTAAAACATACGGGACTACTAGTCCCGTATTTTTTTTGAGCTGTTTTGAAAAATAGACATCTTTTTGGCCTGTTGGTCAAAAAGAGGTCTATTTTGCTAATTATTTAGCAAAACGGTCTATTTTGCTAAATAATTAGCAAAAACGATCTATTTTGCAATTTTTCCCTTCGGCAAAATGGTATATATTTTCCAATTAATAGTTTTCTGGTCTTTTTTTCCAAGTAGGGATAAATGATAGGGGGTTTTCCAATAAATGGTATATATTTTTCTTTTAGTTTTGTCAGATTGGTATATATTTTCGACTCCGGCGTCATAAAGGCCTTAAATTTGACCGGAGTTACTGTTTCGATCAGATCTAATGTGATTTTTTGCAAAAAACTCCCTCATCAAATACAATTTCCTGCTCCTAACCCTTTTTCCCTCCTCCTCCTCATCCTCTTCAACCTCCCCCTCTCCCTCCTCCTCCTCATCCTCTTCCTCCTCCTCCTCCTCCTCTTCAACCTTCCCCTCTCCCTCCTCCTCCTCATCCTCTTCCTCCTTCTCATCCTCTTCAACCTCCCTCATCAAATACATTTCATCGTATATGGATTCAGGTGGCTCAGGGTGGGGTAGCTCCTACAATATGCCAGGAACTACTATGAGGTCATCATCCTCATCTTCGCTCGCTGTTCCTTCCTCATTAGGGCTATTCACCGGCTGGGGCACAGCGGGGTCTTCCGGTTCTTCGTCGCCCGTCAACTGGAGCACTCGCGGGACGATACCTCAGTGTGACTACACCAGCATAGATTGGAGTTTGGACTAGACGCCACTGTCACTGCCGTCATCATCTATAAAGGGTGAGCGGTTGTACGATAACTCATGGCAATCTTCATACACTCCGTCGTCGAAATCTTCGTGGCCGGTTTTCAACGATGGAGGCCTGATGGTTGAGCGTACTGCTGCACCCTCTGCAGGATCCCCAGAGTGGACCTCCCCATTTGGTGGGAAGGACCTCTTTAGGGTTCCGAGGCAGTTTGTTACATCCCCATGCATCCCCATAGTGGAAAAAATTGAGGGGGTCATTTGGAAAATGGTCATAAAAGAAAATGGACTCTATGGTTGAAAATTGTTTGTTGTTTGCTTCTCAAATCTTTGTGATGTCTAATTTTATAATATCTCAAGTGGTCTTGCTGGGGTTAGTTGTGTTTGGGATGCATGTTATGATGCTGTCCTTTGCCATTATTCCTGATGCATCGCTGAAATTGGTCTCTGAATCTCTCCTGATTGCAGGAATGACTCTTGAATTCTGCTAACCGAAGCTTAAAAGTGTCAGGCTGCTGAAGCTTGAATAATTATGTCTTCTACTTATTTACTTTGTTTTAATGGGTTAGTCGTGAAACATTGTGATAGTACATAGGGGCTTATGTTTAATTTACCCTAGTATTCATGAGGAAATGGTAGATAACAAAGACAAGAATTAAAAGGAAAGACGGTGATGACATCGGAAATGAAGTTCTTTCCGTATGGATAAATTATCCAACTATACGTAATCTTCTTTTGGGTTTTACTCTTTCTCAGAAGAGGAGGAGGGGGAGGTTGAAGAGGAGGAGGGCGAGGATGAGGAGGAGGAGGAGGGAGAGGGGGAGGTTGAAGAGGACGAGAAGGAGGAGGGAGAGGGGGGTTAGGAGCAGAAAATTATATTTGATGAGGGTTTTTTTGCAAAAAATCACATCAACCCGGGTCGGGACAGTAACTCCCGCCAAATTTAAGGCTTATATGCGCCGGAGTCGAAAATATATACTAATCTGACAAAACTAAAAGAAAATATACCAACATGTCACCAAGCCTCGAAAAAATATACTAATCTGACCATTTTGCCGATATAATTCCCCCATATCTTTAGAGTTTAATATATGGGACTCTATATATATTGAAATGAGACCCCAATTTTCCTATTTTGAGACAGACCCCAATTTTCATATTGCAAAGAGAAGACGCGCTCCGAATTAATAGTTTTCTGGTCTTTTTTTTTTCAAGTAGGGACGAATGGTAGGGGTCTCGCAGTATAATTCCCCCCAACACACCTTTAATAATATATTGAAATTAGGCCCCCAAGTAATTTCATATTTTGAATTATCTTTTATTTTAAATTAGGCCCTCAAACCTTCATGGTTTCTGTAGACAACATAAATCATCAAATTTTCATAAACAACCCGTTTAAAAACTTAATCTCAAAAAGCGATATATTTAAAAATTATTTACCAAATTCGACTCAGATTCATCCAATTGGTTGAAACTGGGCCGAATTTGATGAAAAAATTACAAAACGACTTGACTTCAAGTCCCATGAAGTTTAAACGCCAGATAATCAAGTTTAAAGGGGGTTTAAACTTTACGGGACTTGAAGCCCCGTAAAGTTTTGTAGCTTTTTTCACCAAACTGGTTGAAGCCGGGTCGAATTTGGTAAATATTTTTTTTCCAAATAAGTCGTTTTTTTGAGAACTAAGTTTCGGAATTGGGCTAAATTGAAAATTTGTCCTAAATCATCACTCCCACGGTCTCAACCTCCCTCCCTCATTACGGGCCCGCAATATCTGCTCGACCCCCGCCTATGGCCTCCTCCTCGCTCCTCCCCCCGTCCCTGGCCGACTCCGCTCTTCGCAGGCGCAGCCTGGAGGACCTGAATCACGGTCCCTTCCGGTCGTGCCAGGGCATTCTCCCTCGTCGCCGAGCCCACTCCCGTGCCTCTCCTCGCTCCTCTCCTCCGCCCTATCCGCGAGCTCAGGTCGCCTTGCCGCGACGCCTCCACAAAGTCCGTCTCCCGACCCCTCTCGAACTACACCTACCTCTCTCACCTTCCTCACACCACCTCCCCTCCCGCCCTCCTCCTTCTCCGCCTCCCAATCCGAGCTCACTCCCCTCTCCCCTTCGCGTCCCTGGCCTCACAGCGCCTCTCCTACCTCTTCGCCTCCCTCTCATGGCTTGCCACCCTCCCCTCCAAGACCGACTGCTCGCTCCGCCCATCGCACCCACAACCACTCTCACAAGGACGCTCCGCTCCTCGCAGCTCGCGCCGACCCTCACCCGCTGCACCTCCGCCTCCCCTCGCTCTCCCTCCCCTCTCCGTCCGCCTCCTCCTCCCGACCTCGCGTTCCCACCCTCGCCCTCCTGATGCCTCCCCCTGCCTCTCCTTTCCCCCTCTGTCCTGCCCTTCTCTCTCCGTCTCCGCACGGCAGGTCCAGCCGCCGCAGCCCTCACCCGTCGTCTCCCTCTCCCCGCCCCGCCCCCCTGGCCATCATCCCTCGCGCTCGTCGCCAAACCTCTCGACCGGCCACCGTCTCCGGCCGCGAGTTTTGCCGTCGCGTCTTCTGGCGAAGCTACGGGCCGTCCGACCGGGGCCCGTCACCTGTCTGCCCCTTTGGCCCGCCTCGACTTCCAACCCGGATCGCTGGCCGAGTCCCAGGAGGCAACTGGGTCCTGATCAAGGTCTGCTGAAGATCTTGGCAGGCTGGGGCGGCGTGGAGCCGCAGGCTGGGGGAGGAAGGTCGTGGAATCCGATCTGCGACTGATCAGCAAGTCCAACGCCAAGTCCCTGGTGTTTGAGTGCGTGAGGGCCGTGCTGACCAGCAATTGCTTCCGAGTGCGAGCGGCGCGGTTAGAGGCCGGTCGAGAAGGTGAAGGGCCGAGTATCTGAACGCCTAGGTAGGTAGACGCGAACGCTGCAATGTACCGGCTGCGCAACGCGCCCTGTCGCCCTGAAGCCGAAAGGATTCGTGAGCCGAGGAGAACCGGGAGGCGGTCATCAGGTCGTTGAGCGATTTGGATCCTAACATTCGCCGGGAGGCGCTGCATCTTGTCATGGGCGTGGTCTTCGAGACCAACGTGGTTGAGATTTCCGTTCTTTTGATTGGCTATGCGTTGAGGTCGGATCCCGTGTTTGCTAATGAGATTCTTGGTGCTATGTTGAGCTCTTGCGGGCGGAACTACTATGAGATTGTTCAGGATTTCGATTGGTATGTTTCGGTCCTTGGAGAGATGGCGAGGAACCCGCACTGTGAGAAGGGGGTGGAGATTGAGAGGCAGCTTGTAGATATCGGTTTGAGGGTGAGGGACGCGAGGCCGGAGCTTGTGAGGGTTGCTAGGGATCTGTTGATGGATCCTGCGTTGCTCGGCAATCGTTTTCTTGATAAGATTCTGTCCGCAGCGGCTTGGGTTTCTGGGGAGTATGTTGAGTTTTCGAAGAATCCGATAGAGTTATTGGAAGCCCTACTGCAGCCGAGGACAAACCTGCTGCCTCCGTTGGTAAGAGCTGTTTATATACAGGCTGTGTTTAAAGTTCTTGTCTTCTGTTTGGGTTCGTACATTGAGAAGAAAGAAACAAATGTTAGTTTTGAAACTAGTGATTATAGTGCTGTTGAGAGTGAGGATGATTTTGGTACTTCGCTAAAACTAGAGAACATGAAACCCTTGACTCATGAGTCTCTAGTGTACTTGTTGAATTTGGTCGAGACGGCTGTTGGGCCACTATATGAATGTGATGGAGTGCAGGTTCAGGAGAGGGCGAGGAATGTGCTCGGTTTGATCCGCATGTTAAAAGAGGTTCCAGGTTGGGAAACAGAGGAGGGTTTTAGGAAAAATCGCAGAATTCGGGAAATTGTAGGGTTCGTTACCGGGGCATTTTCTGAAGAACTAGGTCCTGTTTTGCTGCATGCACAGCAGAAAATTCCTGTTCCTGAGGGGCTCATTCTTAAGGAAAATCTTGCTGATTTGGACATAGTTTTGGGTGATCGTGATATTATTTCTACTTCCTCAACCTCATTTTCTCTACGAAGCCATCGACAAAGGGAAATAGAAGAGGAATCTGAACCAGCCATCGAGTCAACTGCTTTGCTTGCAGAACATCGTAAGCGACATGGCTTATTCTACCTTCCTACTGAAAAAGAGGAATCTGGATCGAATGATTATCCAAAAGCTAACGATCCCATATTATCAGCTAGCAATGATGAACCCACCAGCGATCTACTGAAGCTCACCGAGCAGTCACTTATCCACAGGAAGCCAAAACCTGCAAAGCCTCGACCAGTAGTAGTAAAATTAGATGACGGAGACACTCCATCAACTTCTCTGAAACCAGTGAAGGAGTCGAAAGATGATAAGCTATCTGGTGCAATTCGGGATATCCTTCTGGGAAATAAAGAAACAGTTCCGGCATCATCGCGCAAAGAAACTTCAGAGAAGTCTTCAAGAAGAAGGTCAAAGGATATACCAATAAGTAGCGAAACCAGCTCTCTCACAAAAGAAAATATGGACGAGATAAGACATGAGGGATCAAGTTCGAGAAGTAAGCACCACAATAAAGACAAACATCGAAGTCATCGAGGAAAGGAGGACAACAAAGAGAAGGAACATAAAAGTTCATCAAGGCATGGAAAGCAAAAAGACAAGCATAGACAAAGAGAGGAAGCTTCTTTAAATGTGGTTCCTCAAGCACCCATCATCCAAGATTTTCTCTTATAGTTGGTTTCTTCTTCTTGGATTTGTGTACATCCGGGTGCTGTTTTGAAGAACGATTTTCTTTTGTGTGATTCATCACTTTTGTGCTGTTCTGAAGGTCAGTTTGATGTCCTTTGCCTCTCCTATTTGACTATTGTCATGCATTGTGTGTTATCCTTTTCAATGTTTCTTTTACGGATAAATGTTTCGCCATTTGAATCTTAAAATCTTAACTAATACATTGTGACAGATATAAAATACCACACAATGACCTTTGGCTTTTGCTTTGTTAAATGTTTAGTTGTTTGCTTGTAATTAATACAAAGTTAGGTGAGGAATATTTGTAAAGACATGCAAAAGGTAAAGGAATCTTAAATTTTTTTTAAGATCAGGACTCAGGAGAAAGCATGGTGAAGTTTAAATTCATGACATTAGTAGAAGATAAATAGAGCTACAAACATTCAAGTCACAGTATAAATAGAAATGCTTACTGGGTTAGACCTATGATCTGCAGACACGGATACAATCATGTTATACCTTTACTGTAACAGATACATGATGTTAAATGGGCCAGTGGCTGTATTTAAATACATATGAAATGACCGTATACATTTTTATGTTAATTATGTATATTTAACATATACAATTGTATGCGTTTAAGAAGTCAAAAAATGCAAGTCTATTGTAAGAAATCGTGTCCCAGAAATTAAAGGCCAAGTGTCTCTGGGATATGTACAATCAAACAAAGAATATCAGGAAATATTCCTTATGTGCCCTAGGGATACCCAAGCAATACCGGTCCTCGTGCATGTTCGGAAAAAAAATGCCTTCATGGTGAAGTCAAACACTATCTAGGTATGTATTAGTTGAGCTATTATGTCTGCTTCAAAGAATTATGCTGACTAATCACATTGCCATTTCATTACCAATGCTTGTAGCTATGAGTTATTTTTGACAGTAGATGGCTTCTTATATAGATTGCCCTGTGTGGAATTTATTGGTTTAGAGCTTAGATCACACAGTTTAACCACTGCACTGATATATTGATAGTGCCAAACAGAGAATTCTGTGGATAGAAAAAGTTTTTGGTCCTTTACCTTCTTACTCATCCCAACCCATTATGCTAGAAAATGTCCATCCGTTTCGCGATTGATTGGTTCCTTTGCAAACAAATTCTTTTGACCTAAGGAGATAGACCTTGCTCTTTGCCTCTTGTTCACTCAGATTCTAATTCAGGAGTTTACACTTTGTAACTAGTTTGTGAAAATAAAAGATTAGGCTAGATTACCTTTAAGAAATATAGCGCCCTTGCATGTATAGATAACTGTTTTAGGAAGGGTCTTAAAGTATTTTATGTGCTATATGTGCCCATTCCTCACCTTGCTTGAACTTGTAATTTAATCATAAGTCTGTCAATATTACAAGAACCTACAGTATTATATTATGGATAGGTACACAATCAAGAACTAATTTTTTTTTCCAGGGTATAACAAACTCATCTAATCAGCGAATACGAACAATAAACAAAATCAACCCAGACGATGTTGACGGTAATAAAGAAGTCTTTTATCCACCATCTCTCAGTCATCAGACTCATACGAATCCGCCGTGATCATCAGTATTGTTACTATCCTGTCAATTGGCATAATAGAATCAGTGTCATCTTGAAGCTCCAGGAAATCACATACAAAAACGAAATCAATATACATGACATTCATGCATGATTATGTGTGTGTGTGTGTTTTGGGGGGTGGGGGTGGGGGAATAAAGCTTTCCTTTCACCAAATGAACATTATTTACATTAAAAAAAAATTCAGGCATACCTGAGTATAGAGACTCTGAAACAAACAAAAAAAACCATGTCAAAATGTATTTACAGCACTACACATCTATCTCAAGGATTCAATCCACACCTTATATTCAGGGGGGATATTGTGGCTGTAAATGATGGACAAATGGCAAACTTGACTCTATTAGCAACCACCTCAGTGCTCTTATAAACTTGACTGTGCACAATGCACCCCAGCATTCCTTTCAATCCATAAAACATACTGCAGCTGCAACAACCATTCTCTTTATATTCATATTCCCTCCTGTGCAAATTCTGGTTAAATATATGAAACAAAACATTTCATGCACAGGTCCTCTCTTTAAAACCAATCCAGAGCATGATCCTGCTCCACACCTTAGCCGAAAACACACACTCAAAGAACAAATGTTTTTGAGTTTCAATAGAGCTTGAACATAAATAGCAAGAAGTATCGATTTGAATCCCTTCAAACTTAATCTTTCTTTAGTCAATAGCCTTTTACGTGCAATTAACTACATAATAATGAAAGTATTCTCAGGAATTGTAAGCTTACCCCAGATTGTCTTATGCCAATTCACCTCAGCTCTAGCAGGAACTAAATCATGATAAGGCTTTGAGATAACAAACTTATCACCAATATGCCATTGCTTCACCTTTGAGATAACAAACAACCGATACGCCATTGCTTCACCTTTGAGATAACAAACAACCGATGCGCCATTGCTTCATCTTCTGCATAACCTCTGCCTAGGAGCCAAATATGGACTATGTTACCTGAGTACGTCTATCATGAAACTATACTCGTACCCGACACATTCACATACCCAAACTTCATGGGCACTCCTGTGAATATGTGCATAATGACATGTACTCAATTATATGATAGATATATGCTTTAATTTAAAGAACTTGACAAACACTTCTTGGATGTATCTCCTACCCTTCACATCCATTTCTTAAAACTAGTTAGATATGAGACGGGTTCGTTTCAACCCATACTTTGAAACTAGTTAGATATGGGTCGGGTTCGTTTTAGCCCGTACCCAAGTACAAAACTATAGGTTTAAAGGGTTGTTTGGGTGTCTAGTTCAAAAATGAGTAGTTTTCAAATTATAATAATTAATATAATAAAAGAAATTTAAAATGTGATAGGAGCTTTAATTCTAATGACGCATGAACTGAAAAACAATAATGATCTCATGTAAATTATTAATTTCAATACATATACGTAGCCATGTCCTCATACCATACATTTTACAATTTTGCCGTGTCTCACACCCATACCCGCACCCGTACTGGTAACCATACCCATTTCTATGCAACTTAGCCTGTGGAGCACGACATCCCTAGCATTAAGAATCTGTTCCTATGCCCAGTAATTATTCGCCCTCTTTTATACTGTCCATATGTTATCATTTCTAAGGTGATTGTCATGCAACCACTTCATCCACAATGGTTCTTTTTCGAAATGTATCGCCCATAACATCTTACAAGCAGGCGTGGACATAAATATTTCAGAAGGTGTGGACATAAGTTATTAACAAATGGATGACCTGCACAATCTCTTCTAAAAAGAATGCAGAAACTAACACAGCTCATTACCAAACAGTACAGTTTAACCTCTGGACAAAACGCATGTAATAAATAAGACCAGCAGGTTGGTCAAAAGATTCATACTCGTCAAAATCAAAGACCCAAGAAAAGTTCACATAACAAGGAGAGAAAGTAAGAAAGTAGTTAAAAAGGACCTAGGAAACAATAGAAGTTCACATAACAAGGAGAGAAAATAAGAAAGTAGTTAAAAAGGACCTAGGAAACAATAGCTTGAGTCCATAAGTCAAGGGACACATCTGCAATATAACTTGAGAAACGAAACACAAATCAAATTAAATAAGACCGGGTCATTCAATGCAAGCAACAGGCAACTTCACAAAAGAAGGATAAAAGGAACATAAAAATAATAAAAAAGGGCCAAAGGGGTAAATGAACGGTGTAGGATCGAAAAAGACCTTTTTCCTGCTATACTTATTTAAGCGTCTAGTTCGTTTTAGCCTTTGTTCCAACAATCCAGATTCGCTGCATTTCTTCCTCCTGTCTGTTACCATCCTTCAGCAATGGACAAGCACAAGTTCATCTTCCTCCTATCTCTCTTCATACTCCTCTCAGCCTTTCTCTTCTCCTACTTCAACAATCCTTCCCTTCCCACTAAACACAAAGAAATTCCATTCAGCTCTGGGCTTAAATCTGTTGTTACAGATAACCAGCCAGAAGTCTATATTGTTAGTGTAATGCCTGCCGATGGCACGGGGTTCAATAACGACTTAGATCGAGAGAACTGGTACAAGTCCTTCTTGCCATCCACCCACCTACCCACTGGCGAACCTCGGATGATCTACTCGTACAAACACGCCAGCAGTGGATTTGCGGCGAGGCTCACCCGTAAAGAAGTGCAAGATATGGAGTCCGTGGAGGGTTTCTTGTCAGCACACCCAGACCAAATTCATACCCCGTGCACGACTTACTCACCCGAGTACCTAGGCTTGAACCAGAAGGAAGATGGCCTGTGGAAGCGCACTAAATATGGCGGAGGTGTCATCATCGGTGTCGTGGATTATGGGATTCGTCCTACTCACCACTCATTCAAGGGTGACGGGGTACCGTCGCCACCTAAAAGTTGGGGCGGGAAGTGCATCCCTCCCATCACTTGCAGCAACAAGATCATTGGTGCCCTTGGACTCAGACGCGGGCAGGAGACGTCAGCGGAGGATGATGATGGTCACGGGACACATACTGCAAGCACCGCGGCTGGGAACTTTGTCGACGGAGCGAGTATCCTTGGCCTAGCCTGGGGAACAGCCTCGGGGACAGCACCTCACGCGCATCTAGCGATCTACAAAGTATGCTTTGATCAGTGTGTGGCGAGTGACATAATGGGAGGTATAGACAGAGCCATGGACGACGGAGTCGACTTGCTCTCGATCTCACTCTCTAATGAGCCTAAGGAATTCTATGAAAATGGCATCGCTCGAAGTTCTTTTAGAGCAACAGTGAAGAAAAGAGACAAGAAAGAAGGGATTCTGGTTACTGCTGTAGCTGGCAATCTTCCTGGCTCCAAGAGAAGCTCAGTCCATCATGATGCGCCTTGGGTCCTAACCGTGGGTGCCAGCGGTACGAGTAGGATTCTGAAGGTGATTGTGAAGCTTCACAATGGCATGGAATTGGTAGGAGAATCAGCCTACCAGATCCATTCCGCCACCGACGAGCTACCATTAGTTTACCCTGGTGCGATTACACGAGACCTGGGCACAGCCTTTTGCAAACCTGGGACCTTGAAAGAGGACATGGTAAAGGGAAAGATGGTGATCTGCAAACTCGGGAAAAAATTTGAAGATGTTATTGCTCAGGGTAGGACCGTCCATGCTGCCGGTGGAGCCGCCATGGTGCTGATGAATCCAAAATCATATGAATCCACGATCATTTCATTCCCTCACGTCATTGCAGCGTGCGTGCTTAGTTACCATGATTCCTTGATAATCAAAGATTATGCAGCGACAGACAACCCAAAAGCTGCATTTAGTTTTGAAGGTACGAAGTATGATAATCCTGCACCTAGAGTTGGTGCATTCTCAGGGAGAGGCCCCAGTATTGTGAATGGCCACATTCTAAAGCCAGACATCATCGCTCCAGGTGTGAACATTCTAGCCGCATCGAAAGATAATGATGATGAATTCATGATGCGCTTTGGCACTTCAATGGCCGTTCCCCATATCGCGGGCGTTGCAGCCTTGATCAAGTCCAATCACCCTGACTGGTCTCCTGCGGAGGTTAAATCGGCGATCATGACATCGTCTAACTTCGTCAATCGAGAAGGAAAGCCAATCTTGGACGAGAAATCCGACATAGCCAACTTCTTTGACATGGGAGCTGGTCATCTATTCACTCCAGAAGAAGCCAATGATCCAGGCCTCGTATACGATACGAAGATGGAGGATTACTTTCGCTACCTATGTGGCCTATACGACGACGATAAAAAGGTTGCAGCCGCCACTGGTTATGGCGTAGAATGTAAGGTTTATGGGAAGATTCAACCCGAGCAACTGAATTACCCTTCGATTGGATTGTCGATGAAGCACGATGGGCCGAAAGTGGTTATTCGTCGCAAGGTGAAAAACGTCGGGCCAGAAACAGAGTACACAGCGGATATTAAGATGAGGTCACAAGAAGAGGAGGTCAAGGTGGAAGCTCACCCCAAAACTATCAAGTTCACAAAATATCAAAAAGAGGCAGATTTTGAAGTTCATGTTACACCCGTCAAAGGCAAAAAAGACAGCCTCGTTGAGGCCCACTTGACTTGGGTGAGTAAGATAGAAAGGAGTACAAACCCGAAGAAGCACTATGAAGTCAGGAGTCCAATATCCATCACCTTGACTTAAAACACCATATCCTCCACCTCCGAGCTGAGCTCCTTATAGTAATTAAAATGAGCCCTGTATCCTAATAAATAAATTGAGCTATGTATTATAGTAAGCGTGATGCTGTGTAATCCAGTATTAGTAGTTTTATGGAAAATTCGAAGTTTTTCGGGACACCTTACTTTTTTATAAGCTTTTAATGGTTATTCCTGTCATCAATAAAAGAAATTGATAGTTTCAGTCGAGACCTGCTAGAATTTCCGGTTAAAGGAAAAAAAAACACACGTGGAAAATTAGAAGGTCAGTAAAATAGCAAATGCCATGAAAATCCCCACATGGGTCATCTCCATCGATGAAATATTATTCTAAGGACAAATTTTCAAAAGCAACCCATTTGATAAACTAATTGCAAAAAACGACCCATTTGGGATTTATTTAGAGAAACCGACCTGGTTTCAGCACTGTCGCTGAAACCAGGTCGGTTTTTCTAAAAAACTTTACGAAACTTCACGGGAGTTCAACTCCCGTGAAGTTTTTTCACATAACAAAACTTCACGGGAGTTGAACTCCCGTGAAGTTTCGGAAACTTTTTTTCAAAAACCGACCTGGTTTCAGCGCTGAGGCTGAAACCAGGTCGGTTTTTACAAATAAAACTGAAATGGGTCTTTTTTTGGGAATAGTTTATCAAATGGGTTGGTTTTGAAAATTTGTCCATTATTCTAATGGTCCCCCAAGCTTGTGTAAATATTTCCTGAAGAAAAGTACCCTCCTCCTCTAATTTATTACTGTCAGTGTCCTTGAACTCGGTTTAAATACGCACTACGTCAATCTTAAAATGAGAAAATCAAGCTCAAGACTGATTGATTACATAAATAATTTTACTAATGGAACAAGATAGTTTTCACAAGGTATTGGTTACTTGAAGAAAGTTACTACCAGAACCAGAAGTACCTCCTCAAGTTGTATTACAATCATGGGCTTTGCTCAAAGATTTCCTTGGCCTTTCGATCACAGGGTTTTGTACTTTTGTTGGTAAATTTGTGCGAGGGGGCTAAATCTAAATAGATTGCAGAAACTAGGAAATTCTAATAGTGCCCAAGAAGCAGGGCAGACGAAATAGGGAAATCAATTACGAAGGGCTTGAAATTAGAGGTTTAATACACAGGTACTCCGAAATTTATTCCTTTTTGCAGCTTAAGGCCTAATGATTTATTTCTTTTGAAAACATAAGCACTTGCACATGCATAGCCCCCTTCACCATTTTATTTTCCAAAAAAAGATAATTAAAAAAAAAGGGAAGATCACTGGCTTCTAATCACTATACACACACTTATAACAATGGCTATTTGCACTTTAGGTACTCCTAAAGTCTAAATCTTTTTGAACTATGATATCACAAAGTTCATATTTATCTCAAAGTTCACATCAGTTTTGCCATGGATACTCTCAGGTCTTTTCTTTCGTTGACATTTTGATACCCAATAGTTAAACAAATTTTAACTTTAGTGCCCTAAAGTTTATATATCGTTTAACATTGTACTACAAATTTTGGGCCAACATAATTAGGCCAGGTATCGAAATTCAAAAGGTGTAAACTTTAGGATATCAAAGTGTTGGGGAAAAACCTTTTAGAGCTTCAAAGTTAAAAATTGTGTGAGCTTCGGGCGTCAAAGTTGAAAATTGTGTAAAGTTTTGGGTTACTAAAGTGCAAATAACCCTAATAAAATAGATATCTTATTTGCAAAACTGTAAAAGCTCTTGGGAGGGGTACTTTTATGCAATATCGACCGAGATCATTTCCGTCATTGGGCTCAAATAGATAGAAAATAAAATCATCCGAGCTCCCAAAATCCACACGCTCTCTCTCTCTCCCTCCCCCCAAATGCCTCCCGCTTCTCTCCTCTCCTCATCCCTCCTCCCTTCAAACCCTCTCCCCTTCCTCTCCTCCAATTTCCCCACCAAAATCTCTCTTTCCATCAAAATCACCTCAAAATCAAGCACCCAAGAAAACCCAAGCACCCAACAATCAGAACCCATCACCGGAATCCCTACTACCAAGCTCCCCACGCCTCCATGGCTGACCTCCCCTCTCCCCCTCCCCCCTGAGCCCAAGCCCATCAAACCCAACAACCAGAAAACCCGTCAAAAATCCAATGCTTACAAATCC